CAGAAGATAATCTGCTTTGCAATAAACTTTTATAGTTCAACTGCATACAGGCAACATGCTAAATATAAAAAAAATACTAACTGAACTACAGGTATTAAATACTGAAAAAAGTTAACAGTTTATTATAATTTATTTTATTTAACAATCTAGGAAATCTGTAGCCATCAGCAGTTGCAGTGCAATTTCAGGTGCAAATAAGAATTCAGGAATCTCAGTGGAGCTATTAGTATAACAAACCTTGTAGGTAAAATACATGCATACTTTTGATAGCACATTTGATCCTTCAATTTTGTGCTATCTCTTTAAAATTGACCTCATTGGTTTTGTTCTCAGCAAACTGACCTGTAAAACAAAAGAATTATGTATGTTATGTGCTAAATTGTCCTCCCCATATTTTTAAAAAAATTTATTTCATTTATTATCATCATTATTATTTGTTTCTAATTTGAGAAATCACCTCCCCAGGGAGAACGGCCACGCCAGTCCTTTCATGGCTTTTATTGTTCCTGATGTTAGTGCATATTCTCTTTTTACAATAAATTCTTGACCATCAGAAGATATCAATTTGGTATACATGGCATCAGGGCCTTCACAGCCACCATAAGTTTTCTCTTTTCCATCCATTCTGTTCTTAAGAACTTTTACTTTGCTTCCACAGGAACTTGAGTAGTTTTTCCTCAGGCATGTAGCCACTGAAGTGGAGTCCTTGCGTACCACCACAGCCCCTAATCCAGGGCCGACAATTACATTTTTAAGAGTATAATAAAAGGGGTGGAAAGTAGCAACACAGCTGACAAAGTGTACAATCTAAATAACCAGGTTTTTTTTAAAGGCTTATTTTTAAGGAGTAGGAGAAATTAGAAGCTTAGAAAAATCAAGAATTAAACAGTAAAAGAAAAAAGTGTCTTTAACTGCAACCATTCCATTATCAATAGCATCTTGGGCTGTAGGAACGAGATCTTGATCGAGATCTGTAACGACTATAATAAGGAGAAGGCGATCTTCTTCTGTACTGGTAATCATAGTCTTCATATCTGTCATATCCTTGATCATATCCTCTATCATAGTAAGAATCTCGGCTTCTGCCACCACCTTCACCACGACCGCTACCACCACTGCCACTGCCACTATGAGTTGGTCTGCCCATGTAGATGCTTGGTGTAGGTGTATATGCTTTCTTAGTGATAGAATAATCCACATAAATTCTTCTACCGTCCAGTTCCATTCCATTTGCCCTTTTCATAGCCTCCTTTGTGTCATCTATTCTCTTGAAATACACAAAAGCAAGTCCTGTGATCAGTACGTTGATCATAAACCACATTAATACCACTCGATGGTTCATAGCGAGAAAATACTTCACAGAGATCTCTGTTGTGTACAAACGGAGGCCACATACTCCAAGACAAGTATTAGGATCCGAATTTGCCCTGCTGCCTGTATGTCTTCTGCAGTTAGACATTGGAGAATGATTTTGGCTCCTTTGCCGCCGGTACTCTGGTGTATATGACCTACTTCGGGATCGTCTCCTTTGTGAATACACTGGATCAAGTGTAGCATCTGTGAGAGTGCCTCCTTGACCTTGACCTGGATTTTGACCTTGATCAAGAATGGGATTCAGAGTGTTTGGAAACCCTTGATGTACTACGAGATCCTAACCTGCTCTCTGATATTACACAAGCAGGAGTTCCTGTTGGAGATTTTGACTGAGAGTGAGACTTTCTACCCTTGAAGTTGTTCTCCTCTACATCACTCATGATGGGCAGACTCTCCCAGAACTAAACAAGAGACAAGTCTCGGCTCGAGGGCCCGATGGCCTCATCAACCCACTGACTGGATGGCGGGGAGCAGAGAGTCGGCAACCACAGACCCTCCACTCTACTCCCACTTGGTCACAGGCTCTGGCAAAATGCCAGATTGATTTCTCATTTTCCCTCTTTCTCTTCAGTGAACACACATGCCCTATGGCAAAAATCTTAGAAGTAAATTAAAAAAATAGGAGAGAGCCTAGGTGGCTTGGTGGGTGGGGCTGCTGAGTCCCACATGGCTGACTGCGTGGTTTGAATCCTGGACCTGACAACTTGAGAAATATTCCAGGCATATGTACCTATGAACCCAAAGTCCTGAGAAGAGAATGGAGGAGAAGGGGTTGGGTTATGGCATTCCTCTCTCTCCCTCCCTCTCTCTCTCTCTTCTCTCAGGGCAACCACAGGTACCCTCTGGCAAGTTAAAGATAAGGAAAGAAAAAATAGTAGAAAGTTTAGGAAATGTTTGTAAAACTTTAGGGTGAGGGAGGTTGTAAACAACAAAGGAGGGTGTAAGAGGGAGACATGCTTGACCACATACAATTTTTTTTAAGAGAGATTTTTGCTATAGGGTGCATAAATGTGTGGGAGAGACAGAGACAGAGAGAAAGTGAGAAATAACCTCCCCTCCTCCCACCAGGGATGGCCATGCCGCAGTTTCTTCTCCATTCTCCTCTCAGGATTTTGGGCAGGCATACACATTCAGCATGAGTTTGAAGCTGCTGAGTCTGGGACTACAACTATAGTTGACTGTGGGAATTCAGCATTACACCATCTGCTGGTCCCAACCATACACAATTTTAATAGCAAGAGGGCTAGACAGTGGCACAGAATTAATGTAATGCCATGCTCTGCAATGCTGACCCATATGGGAAAGTTCTAGGGTTGTTCCAGAGACCTCTGTGACAATACTGGGCATGAACATGCCCATAATCCAAGACTGGCTGAATATCACAACATCAAAACCCTATTGGGAGACCAGCAGGTGGCGTGGTGGGTAAGACAGTAGACACTCCCACATGGCTGACCATGGTTGGAGTCTTGGACTTGGTAGCTTGCTTTCTCGCTTACCCTCCCTCTCTGTGTGTCTCTCTGGTCAAATTAAAATATAAATGAATGAATAAGTAAAATTAATCTTTTTTTTTTTTTTAAGAAATAACTTTCTTTCATTCCCCTCCTTTCATTAAAAGAAAAAAATAAGAAAGGAAGAGGCATTAGACTTATGTGCTCAATGTGCATTTAAAAAAGAAGGGGGAGTGCTGTCTCTCGTACTTATTTATTACTATTTTTTTTCTGGACAAACCATTTTTGAAAATTTTACATTTAATCATCATACATCTTTACTGCATACAATATGGTTTTTTGTGCATTGAATGTCAGTCAAGTCAAAGATAGTACCATACCCATCATCCTCAACAGATAATTTTACATTCTTGTGTCCATTTTCCTCTTTTTTTTTTTTTTTTCATAGTGAGAAAGACATAACAAACCCAAAATATCAAATCACGTGGCTAAAGACTCCACAGACTCTAAGACAGTCAGAGCCAAGAAATGGCAAAGAATCACTGTCCTTTGGATGTACTGGTATATACTACATTTTCTTTATCCATTTGGGTTCTTCCTAGTTGAAGACTCCAACAGGGTCTTGCTCTTTTACCAGGCTACTTACTAGCTTCCTGCCTTAGCCACCCAAGTCACCTGGGCTTGCTGGTGTGTGTCACTACGCATGGCCTTTAGGTTGAACTGGAAATTGAAGCCTGGTCTTCGTGTATTCCTTACCTGTATACCACCACAACTGCTCCTATGTTTAACTTTTTTTTTTTGAGAGATTTTTGCTATGAGGTGTGTGCGTTCCTTGGATAGACAGAGACAGAAACTGAGACTCATCTGGTGGGGGATGGCCACACTACAGTTCCTTCTCCTTCATTCTCCTCTGGGGATTTTGGGCACACACACACACATATGCCCACCATGAGTTTCAAACTGAGTCCGGTACTCCAACCGTGGTTGGTCACATGGGAGTCTAGCATCTTAACCACTATGCCACCTGCTAACCCCTATGTTTAGCTTTTTGAGGAACTGTCAAACTTCAAAGCAGTTGTACCATTTTACACTCCCACCAGCAATGTACAAAGGTTCTGATTGCTCTGCATCATCGTCAACACTTAATTAAAAACATTTTTTCTTTTTAAGTTGTGAATAGCCATCCTTATAGTTGCTAGCCTTTGAAAATGTTGTTTTCGGGACCAGCAGTTGGTGTAATGGCTATGTTGCTGGACTCCCATGTAGTCGACCACAGTTTGAGTCCCGGACCCAGTGGCTTAAACTTACACCGGGCACGTGTGTGTGTATGCCCAAGATCCCAAGAGGAGAATGGAGGAGAAGGGATTCGGCGTGGCTATCCCCGTTGGGGATAATTTCTCACTTTCTTGCTTTTTTGTGTCTCTTTCTGGCGAGCGCACGTGCCCTGTAGCAAAAATCTCTCAAAAAAAAAAAAAAAAAGTTTTCCAGGAAGGCAGCAAGTAGTCCTCTGATCATCTGTAAGTTTATGTTTTGGAAGATTGTACATCATTAGATGGTAAGTATCTACTAGGGTTTTTTGTTTTGTTTTGTTTTTTAATAATGCTTTAGGAGGTTTTCTTGTTCTGTAAGATTTCATAAACCCATCTAATTGAAATGTAAGCAGGTTTTTATGTTTTCATTAGGTACGACCAAAGCTGACACTTTTGAAGATTTTGCAGGCAGCAGGTGCACAAGGGGAAATGTTCACTTTTAAAGAGGTGAGCCATCAGATAAAATTCTCTTTTTCGAAAACAATTGAGAAGTTGAAACCAGTGAATATGTGGTTGTGAAATAATTTCTAAGAAGTGAAGTTCTACTCCTGAGGTATTGGAAGGGCAACTTTTACTTTGTTTTAAAAACTGTTAAGTAGAACTTATTTTCTTTTAGAGTTCCTTTTGAAGTATCTTACAACCTTAACACAGAATTAACCATAAATTCATTGATCTCAGAGTTAAAATGCAAAACTAGTACAGATTAGAAAATAACATTATGATTTATAAGACATGCTGCTAGGCAGGAATTAAATGTAATAGTTTTTTAATATAAATGTGTCACATACTCTTCTGAACATTGTGAGTTATTTTAAACACTTATGCATTTAAATAACTTATTTAGCTTCTGAATATTTTTTAATTTTTTAAAACAAAAACAAATTGAATTATTTAAGTGGAAAAGAAGTGGAAAAGAAGTGGAAAAGAAGTTGGAAGTGTTTGCACTTAGTAAGGTAGATTTAACCTTTCTTTTCTTAAACAGAGGAATCAGAATTATCAAGCTTTTTAAAAGCCTCATACCTTTCAGCACAGCCTCGCTCATGAGTCATTAAACCTCCTAGGGAAACAAATCTGGAGGCATTTCAGATTTTCCTAGAATACCCATATTTCCTTTATCATTTTAAGTTAAATGCATCATTTTGGACTGTATCTCTGAAATTCTGATACACAGGCTTTTCAAACTGTAAAGTCTGAATTTTTATATTATAGATATGATGAATTATGCCATTTCCTTCATTAGCGTGGCAGAATATATCTTAAGTTTACTTGATAAGCTTTCTGTTATGAACATCGACCCTACCTAGTGCATAAAGAGGACTTTCCTGATTTTTAATTCTTATTTATATTTTTTTACCAGTGACCATATGTTCTTACCAGAGAGAGAGAGAGAGAGATCACATCCCAATGGGACATGGTCACGCCGCAGTCTTTCCTCATTTCTCCTACCTGCTGGAGTTTTGAGAAGAACAATTGAGAAGTTGTCTGATGTGTTTTTCTTTTCTTTTCTTTTTAAGAGATTTTTGCCTTTGGGCATGTATACCACTGGAGAGAGAGAGACTGAGACAGTGAGAGGGAAAGTGAAAAATCACCTCCTAAGAGGAATGGCTACACTGCAGTCCCTTCTCTTTTCTCTTCCCGGGATCTTGGGCACTCATGCAGATGTACCTGATGTGATTTTCAAGACACCAGGTCCAGGGAACCAGCAGTTAGCGTAATGGCTATGTCGCTGGATTCCCATGTAGTCTACCGCGGTTTGCGTCCAGGACCCGGTGGCTTAAAACTCACGCTGGGCGCATGTGCGTGCGTGCCCAAGATCCCGAGAGGAGAATGGAGGAGAAGGATTGCGGCGT